GCATTGTTCATTTAAGAAGGCCCTCTTGTCTCTCCTTGCTATTCTTTGGAAGTCTGCATTCAATTTTCTGTAACTTTCCCTATCTCCCTTGCATTTTGTTTTCCTTCTCTGCTATTTGTAAGGCCTTGTTGGACAGCCACTTTGCTTCCTTGCATTTCCTTTTCTTTGGGATGGTTTTTGTTGCTGCTTCCTGTACAATGATACAAGCCTCTATCCAAAGTTCTAGAGGCACTCTGTCCACCAAGTCTACTTCCTTAAATCTGTTCTTCACTTCCACTGTGTATTCATAAGGGATTTGGTTTAGATTATACCTGACTAGCCCAGTGGTTTTTCCTTCTCTCTTCAGTTTAAGCTTGAATTTTGCTATGAGAAGCTGATGATCAGAGCCACAATCAGCTCCAGGTCTTGTTTTTGTTGACTATCTAGAGCAGGGGTCAGGGAACACTTTTTACCTTTTACCCCCCAAAATATTTATATACACCAACATTACCCCCCTGATTTGAAAGGAAGGATCTCAGTCACACATGTCTTGGTCATGCGAGGCCAGTTGAGCACTTCCACCGAAGCTTCATCGCCCACGCCCAGGCCGCCACCGCCACTGTCTCCTCTGCCTGTGCTCAGTCCTTGGCCCCACAGGGGTGGCTCCCCTTCTCTGCTGGCAGGCGGCTCCTGGGCGGCCGTTGAAGAGCAGCAGGTGGCTTGCCCTCTGGGGGTACCTGAAGCTGCCTCCCGCTCTGGCACTGGCGGCTGCTCGCCAGGGCAGCCACATCTGGCCTCAGTGTTGGGGCTCCCGTGGGCCTTGCCATCGAAGTGCCATGACAGCTGCCACACGGAGGGTGAGAGGCTCTGCCAGGCCCAGCCGGCCAGTGCAGAGGCGCCGCTGAAGGAAGCTGTGTGGCTGGGTGAGCGTTGCTGCTGCCCCACGGGCTCCTCCAGGAACAGGGACGGGGTGTGGTGCAATGGCGATGTCCCGGTGCCAGGAGGCTGAGCCTGGCTCGGGCCATCATCATGGCCGCGCCTGCTCCACTCCACCACGATTCACCTCTCCAGGCACTGGAAGGAGAGGCTCTTCCTGGCCGAGGCGCTCTGGCCACTTGCCCTGGCCTTGACCTCTGCCACGGCCAGCCTCACTGCCGCTGCCTCAGCTGCCCTACGCTGCCAGCTGGGGCCGTCCATCATCCAGCATGGCACAGTTGCAGCTGGGCCAGAGAAGGGGTCAGGGACCTTCCCCTCTGGACAGAAGAGGAGGAGGGAACGGGGTTGGGGTTGCGTCCTCATTACCCCCAAGATTTTCATTTTTACCCCATTTGGGGTAATTTACCCCTGTTCCGTGACCACTGGTCTAGAGCTTCTCAATCTTTGGCTGCAGAGAATACAGTGGTGCCCTGCATAGCGACATTAATCCGTTCCGGATTAATCGTCGCTATGCAGAAACATCGCTAAACAGAACGGAAAAAGCCATTTCGTTTAATGTGTTCCTATGGCTCCCAAACTCACTGTTGAGCGAAGTTCCTCCATAGCGACGCCATTTTCGCGCCCTCGGTAAGCGAGGGCAGGGCGCGAAAACGCTTCCGCCGGCCATTTTGGGCACCCGGCGGCCATTTTGGAACCGCCGATCAGCTGTTTAAAAAAACATTGCAATGCAAAGATCAGTAAGCGAAATGCTTACCAATAATCGCAATGCGATGTTTTGCCTATTCAGAACATCGCAATGCAATCGCATTAGCGATCTAAAAAAATAGATCGCTATGTGGATTCGTCATTAAACGGTGCACTCGTCCTCAGCATTGGTGGTTGGTGCATAAACTTGGATTATTGTGATTTTGAAAGTTCTGCCTTGGATTCGTGTTGAATTATTCTATCATTTTTAAGATTGTATCTCAGTACAGCTTTTCCCACTCTTTTGTTGACTATGAGGGCTACTCCATTTCTTCTACAGGATTCTTGCCCATAATAGTAGAGATGATAATCGGCTGAATTGAATTTGCCCATTCCTGTCCATTTTAGTTCACTGACGCCCATGATGTCAATGTTTATTCTTGCCATCTCCTGTTTGACCACATCCAGCTTACCAAGGTTCATAGATCTTACATTCCAGGTTCCTATGCAGTATTTTTCTTTGCAGCATCGGACTTTCCTTTCACTTCCAGGCACGTCCACAGCTGAGCGTCCTTTCGGCTGTGGCCCAACCACTTCATTAGCTCTGGAGCTACTTGTCCTTTCCTCCGCTCTTCCTCAGTAACATGTTGGATGCCTTCTGACCTGAGGGGCCCATCTTCCAGCATCATATCTTTTAGCCTTTTGTTTCTGTTCATGGGGTATTCTTGGCAAAGATACTGGAGTGGCGTGCCAATTCCTACTCCAGGTGGATTGCATTTAGTCAGAATTCTCCACTATTATCTGCACGTCTTGGGTGTCCCTGCACGGCATAGCCCACAGCTTCTCTGAGATACTGAAGCCCCTTCACCACGACAAGGCAGCAATCCATGAAGAGGAACTATCAAAATACGTACCTGATGAAAATATGAGTGTCTTGTGATAAGGCCTAAAAGACAAATTTAGTGAATGTCGCTTTCATAGAATCAGAATCTCATAGATGGTCAGATATTCCAATGTACAACACTGATGAAAATAAAACTTACTAAAGGAAATTCTGGCTTCCAGAACAAGATGATTTGGGGGCAAAGACTCTCACTTAGATTGGATATTGTGTAATTGTGTTAAATGCAACCAGACTTGAAAATTCTTTTGGGAAATATATGGCACACTGTAGCTCAGCCATAGCTAATCCTTATTAAAGAGGGGAAATACATTTTCCTGACAAAGAATCAGGAAAAGGCATATTTAATTTCAGTTAAAAAATGGGACCAAGAACAGTTGTTATAGTTGTGAATCCCTAATGCATTTCGCAGCAGACATTCTCCAAGTCTTACTACAACTATAGTGTCATCATTGCCTCTGAAGTTGGCAACATAACGGATTAATCGCTTCCCCTTACACAGCATTATTATTATTGCTTTGACAGCACTTCTGTTATTCTGATGAAGAAAAAATCCTCAGCACAAGTATTATTTTTTTAAATGTTCTTTGCAAAAACATGATTTTTAAAGGTACTAAACAACTATATAGTATGAGAATGAAGTTGGGCATAATGTATTTTTTTTTTAGAAATGCGACATACGTTTAATCTAAATTTGTAATATGGGAACCATATCTAAATTTTTATCATGTATACATGTGCTTTTAATTCCTCATTTTCCACGTTTGTCTCTTGTCTTTTCTCTTACACTGTCCTCTTTAGAGTTCTTCTTATAGAGTTGTTCTTTGTGTCTTCATCTTGTTATTGAGCAGAATGATTAAATCAATATATTGTGGATACTACTGAAATATCTTCAATAGAAAGCTGCAGTGCAGAAAATAACCAATATCTTACTGTTCATATTGGCCTGTTTGGTTGGTTTGAAATAGTGGCCCAAGTTCAGTGGTATATGTTAGTATCCAGTGCTCATGAAACGGGGACTTCCGCCTTTGCCCACTCCAACTGCAGGCTTCCATGGTGTCACTCCTGCTCCACAGCATCTCCCAGCCCTCCAGAGCAGGTTTCAGGGTACATAGGGGGCCGAGAGTTGGAGATAGAGGCTGTGGATGTAAGAGGGGACTATAAATTCTGGTGAAAATAGTTGGA